ATTCTGCTTCAGATTATTTGTGTACTAGTGAACTCGACGTTCGACTATGACAATTGATCAGCTTCTTAACAGTACCAGAGAGAGCTTTTAAGATACTTGGATCGTGTTTGTAATTTATAGTGGAAGATACGTACTTAAGCAAGATATTGTTACGCAGATATAAGTGTATTCTATCGGAGAAGAATAATTTAAGTAAGTATATTAAAGAAATAAATAAAGAATAAAGTATATTCTAAGAAATATGTAATAGTAATTAAATCAAATAACCGCTATGAAAAAATTTTGTATCTTAGATTAGCGTGTCGTGTTCGGCGAATCTGAAATATATCTGTCTGCTAACGATCTGTTCCTTCTGTGCTTGTAATTCTCCTCACTATGTTACAAAAATAATAATAGAGTGATGGAATATCGAACGGAATATTTAATGATAATAATTAATGATTTAACATGTGACACGGAATAAAAACAAAAAATGATGTATAAAAATTTTCCATGTACTAACTACGTTTTTCCTCACTTGTTTCCAATTTTTTGCATGATTGTCAATAACGTAAGAAAAGAAGTATTATATGTAATGTCGAAAAGAACACAAGAACACAAAAAATAACGGAAACGTGTCTCAACAGTCATCATCCAAAAAAAAAAAAAAAGAAGAACAACAATAATAATGTATTTTATATATAACTAATAACAATTTATTTCTTCTTCCACTTGTAGTTTTCTACTTTTTTATTATAAGAGCAAAATTATCTCGGTCATTATTTTAATTATTGCGAATGTGAAATTTCTCGTCCGTTGAAATATATTATTTAAATGGCCATTCTGAACATTTTTTTTTTTTTTTCTTTATACACGTAACCGCTACTCGGTCTTAGTTTCAGAGATACTCGTAAAAAATTTGTTTAATTCCACGCATTTTTTGAAGTTCTGATTGAAATTAAGTTGAAGTATAATTACTTAGGTCGTACTTCAATCTGATAATAAAAAAAAAAACGATAAAAATAAAAATGTATAATAACCAATTTGGGTTTGATATTCAATCTGATCGACAACATTTCCAAATGATTCAAAGGAATGAATGATTCTTCTTGAAAAAGAATCACCTTCGTTAGAAATCTAAGAAATAAAGAAAGAAGGAAGCATAACTCAAAACGTAACTCAAACTAAGCCAAAAGCTAAAATCTAACTGAAAAATATTAAAAGTATCACTTTATGAACTTTTAAGTAAATATCTCGAGAACTGAAGGTTCCGACATAGAGGAAGAAGTTAGTCAGAATTATTATATCTGATAATTTATTTCAAGGCAATTGAAATCGATAAGGAATTCTAATAATTACTAATAAATAAAAAAGAATAGTAACTAAATATGGCTTATTATACTTATTATTATACAGCTTATTATATTTATTACACAGCTTGTTATACAATTTATCACACTTATTATACTTATCTGTAATTAGAGAAATTTGGATTTTCTTCTTTTATTTAAATTACAGTAGTATTAAGAAATGAATTAAATTACAGTTGCAAGAAATGGTTGAATTACATGAATGCATGAATGGTTAAACATTTCCAACGAAATCTAAATCGATTAATTACGTCAATACTATAAAAACAGATTTTCGTAATTGCATGCATTACCGATGTGATTATACACAGTCAGTCTATATACATTTCTGCGAATTTTCGTTAAAAGAAAAACAAAGGTTTCTAATATTTCATAGGTATTAATTTGTCTATCAATTAATAATACAATTATTTCATTTATTCAATTATCTGTCAATTATCTATCAATTAGTTATACAATTTATTTATTGGTTAATTCTTAATGGCAACACCATTTGAAATTATTAACTGGGAAAATAAATAAATAAAAAAAGGAATAAGATGGAAAAACGAATGTGTTGACTGAAGAATATTATTTATTATAAAGAATGTGTTATTGTTATTATTGTAAATATAGGATAACTTTTTATTCACTTTATTACACACGAAATAATTGTACATAGATTTTTGTATGATCTGATTTAATGCAACTAATTAATTAAAGTGCGCAAAATGTTCGAAATACTCATTTTCTTATTATATCTATCTCTTTAAACGTTTCAAATTTGACATGTAAACTTCTGTAATTGACTGCATGTACATTTATGTTACGTAATATAAATGCGAATAAATTACACGAGAAAGATTATGACCCTAACATAAAGAAAAAGTTTTATATTTCGAAAAAGTAACATAATTTGTAACAGACTTAATTTAAGTAATTTGTTTGACTTCTCATCACGAAGCACGATGTTGAACTCATTGTAGAACTGTCGAAGCGAATGATCGCTTTGACGCTTAAAAAAAATAATTTTAATTAATTCAAATTCATTCTTAAATTCGATCGTTCCTTAGAAGAACCTTTCCTCTCTTCTTTATAAAAATAATAAAATAATATTATTAAACATTTCCAGTCGCTACCAGTATTGTTTTAATTTCTGTTAAATTATTATTCCTAGCAATGTTGTCAAAAATCCTTTTCCTCAAGCAATCGAAGAGATACAAAATAAAAAA